AATTTATCAGGCATGGTGGCGCATGCTGTAGTCCCAGCTACCTGGGAGGCTGAGGCAGGAGGATCACTTGAGTCCAGGAGTTTGAGGTTGCTGTGAGCTAGACTGACACCACAGCACGCTAACCTGGGCAACAGAGTGAGACTCTGTCTCAAAAAAAAAAAAAAAAAAAAAAAAAAAAAAAAATCAGCCGGGCATGGTGGCACATGCCTGGAGTCCCAGCTCTTCAGGAGGCTGAGGCAGAAGGATTACTTGAGCCCAGTAGTTTGAGGTTGCTGTGAGCTAGGCTGACACCAGGGCACTCACTCTAGCCTGGGCAACAAAGTGAGAGAGACTCTGTCTCAAAAAAGAAAAACATCAATTAATTAAAATAAGATACTGCTACACACCTATCAGAATGGCCATAATCCAGAATACCTACCGACCACACAACATGTTGGCCAGGATGTGGAGCAACAGAAACTCTCGTTGGCTGCTGGTGAGAATTCCAACCCTATAGCCATCTTGAAGGACAGTTTGGCAGCTTCCTACAAAACTAAACATACTCCAACAATCACACTTCTTGGTATTTATCCAGAGGAACTGAAAACTTATGTCCACACAAAAACCTGAACCGATATTTACAGCAGCTTTATTCACAACTGCCAAAACTTGGAAGCAACCAAGATGTCCTTCAGTAGATGAACGGATAAACTTTGCCATGTCTTATTCAGAGATAACAAAAAATGAGCTATCAAGCCATGAAATGACATGGAGGAACCTTAAATACTAAGAAGCCAACCTGAAAAGGCTATATACTGTATGTTTCTAACTACATAACATTCTGGAAAACGAAAACTATGAAGACAGTATACAGATCAGTGGTTGCCAGGGGAGAAAGGGTAAGGAGAGGCAAAGCACAGAAGATTTTTAGGGCAGTAAAAATACTCTCTGTATATTGCTATAATGGCAATACATGTCATTATACATTTGTCCAAGCCCATAAAATATACAACAGCAAGAGTGAATCCTAATGTACACTATGGACTTTACACAATTACGATGTGTCAATTAAGGTTCATCAATTGTAACAAATGTACCACTCTGATGGTAACTGGGGAGGTTGTGCATGTATGGGGGCAGGGAATACACTGGAAACCTCTGTACCTTCTTTTCGGTTTTGCTGTGAACTTAAAATTGCTCTAAAAAAATTAAATGGGCCGGGAGCACTGGCTCATGCTGGTAACCCTAGCACTCTGGGAGGCCAAGGTGGGCGGATTGCTCAAGGTCAGGAGTTCGAAACCAGCCTGAGCAACAGCGAGACCCTGTCTCTACTACAAATAGAAAGAAATTAATTGGCCAACTAATATGTATAGAAAAAATTAGCCAGGCATGGTGGCGCATGCCTATAGTCCCAGCTACTGGGGAGGCTGAGGCAGGAGGATCACTTGAGTCCAGGAGTTTGAGGTTGCTGTGAGTGAGGGTGATGCCACAGCACTCACTTTAGCCTGGGCAACAAAGCAAGACTCTGTATCAAAAAAAAAATAATAATAATAATTAAATGGAGAAAAAATAATTGACTAAAACCTAAAGAATGCTACTGTATGATTCCATTTATGTAAAATGCAAATTCCTCTATACTGACATAAACCACATTAGTGGTTGCTGGGGCTAGGGGAGGGATAAACTACAAAGGGGCACAAGGGACCTTGTGAGTGATAGGTATGCTCTGTATCTTGATTGTGAAAAACTTATTAAATGGATAGAATTTATTTACTAAAGTATTCCTCTATGGACCTGATTAAAAAACATATTAAATCTCAAACAGGGCCGGGCACGGTGGTTCACGCCTACAATCCTAGCACTCTGGGAGGCCGAGGCGGGAGGACTGCTCGAGGTCAGGAGTTCAAAACCAGCCTGAGCAAGAGTGAGACCCTGTCTCTACTATAAATAGAAAGAAAATAATTGGTCAACTAATATATATATAGAGAGAGAGAAAAAAAAAATTAGCTGGGAACGGTGGCGCATGCCTGTAGTCCCAGCTACTTGGGAGGCTGAGGCAGAAGGATTACTTGAGCCCAGTAGTTTGAGGTTGCTGTGAGCTAGGCTGACGTCACAGCACTTACTGTAGCCTGGGCAACAAAGTGAGACTCTGTCTCAAAAAAAAAAAAAAAAAATCTCAAACAGATTGGGCATGATGGCTCATGCCTGTAATCACATCAGTTTGGAAGGCCAAAGTGGGAGGATCACTTGAGGCCACGAGTTTGAGAACAGCCTGGGCAACACAGTAAGACCCCAACTCTACAAAAAAAAATTTAAAAATTAGCCAGATATAGGGGCATGCACCTGTAGTCCTTGCTACTCAAAAGGCTGAGGCAGGAGGATCACTTAAGCCCAGGAGTTCAAGCTAACAGTAAGCCACTGCACCACAGCCTGGGCAGCAGAGCAAGGCAGCAGAGCAAGACTTTGTCTCTTATAAAAAAAAAATTCAAAGTAATCAGACATTTCATACATGTGTAACATGTAATTAGGCATAAATAGAAAAGTTACGCAAGTGATAGCAATGTTTAGAGGAATAAAAACAAAAGTCTGGGTTTCCTCTTTCATTTGATTGGCTCCCAATATCTACAAGCACTGTCAATTTTTCTTCCTAGATATTATGTACAGGCAAAGACCTCATTTCATATCTCTCCTTCACCCCATCCCCATGGTATACAATCCCTCCCATCCATTCCTAACAATCTCTGGAAAGTCGGGAGGTTGGAGGAGGGGGAAGAGATAGCTTATTTTACCATATAAATTTCCACTAACCCTGAATGTCCTGTATGCAATGAATTCTGAACCACAATGATTCCATATTAGGGAAACAGAAGGGCAGGGCAGCTTCTTCATTCTATCTTTATGTTTGTGTTCTCTCTGCCTATAATTTTGTTAATAGTATTTATAACACTGTTCTGTAATAATTGACATTTCTCTTGGTTTCTCTTTTAGATGGCAAACTCTTTTGTGGGCAGGAAGTGTACCTTGTACATCTCCATAGCCTCACTGCCTATCTAGCAGATCTAGAAGTGTTTAGTGAATGTTCTTCCTTCCTCTTCCTCTTGAATTGTCAAAATTCTAACCAACCCACAGAGATGATGCTAGTAAGAAGGACTTTCAAGATCCAGCTTAAATGTCAATTTCTCCTTGAAGCTGTTATTAATGCCCTGATTAGACTCTCCCACAATTTTCCTACCACCGCTAGAACCTGTCATATTTTTTTTTACCCAACTGTTCAGGCTTTGGAACTGAGATCAGATCCTGCCATTGACCTCTGATCTCAGGCAAATTACTAAATCTCTGTAAAAATAACATCAACAATAACACAACTAATACTGACCATGTGCCAGACATTGTTCTAAGAGTGTTATAATAATTCATTTAATCTTCACAGCAACCCTATGTTTGCACAACACTGTGAATGCAATTAATGTCACTGAGTGTACACTTAAAAATGGTTAAAATGGTGTATTTTATATGTATTTTGCCCCAATAAAAATAAAGGTGGACACAGAGAAATTAAGTAATTTACTCAAAGTCTCACAGCTAGTAAGTAGCAAAGCTACCTCAGAAGTCCAGCTTCAGAGTCCATATTCTTACCTTCTGTACTGTATTGATTCTCACAAAGTCTCATTTTCTTCATATATATAATGGGAATGACATAACCTACCTCACAGGTGTATAAAGTGCTTCACACATAGCAACAGTGCAAAAAAGTTATTGTTTTGCCTTAGTCCTTTCCTACACATTTATGTTCCTTGAAAGCTGAGTCAACCTTGTCTATCTTTGTACTTCTCTCACTGTACCTAGCATAGGGTACAATAAAGAGCAGACCTGAAATAAATATTTTATTCAGAGAAATGTCTGTAGCACCTAGAAATCCAAGCATGAATGAAAAAGGCAACACTATACAAGCAAGAATTTTGAAGTGTTATTATAAAGACATAAACTAACATTTTTGTGCAAGTTGAAAAGAAGGATCAATTCTGACTAAGAGAACATGTCTAAGTGGAGGTGACACTGAGCTAGCCAAGGCCTGAAGTAGAGTAGGGGAGGTTGTATAACCACTTCCCTAAATGGCAATTATAAATAGTTCAAAATACAAGTCCAATGGGAAAAAAAAACTTTAATAGGGACATTAATATAATCATAACAGTAAAATACTGTAAAAAAAATCCGATGGAAGTAAAACTAGGCTCTATAGACACACTTGGTGCAGAAAACAAAAAGGAGTCCCCTTTTCTAACGACTAAATTACAACAGTATTCTTAGCACCATTTGGCATACAATTTAGAAAGTCAAGGCAGTGTAAGGTTTAATGACAAAAATCAGGAGACCTAAACTTCAAAGATCCCTTTGCCACTGACACTGGATAGTAAAACCATAGATTCCGAGGGCTTCACCTTAATGCTAAGTGGACTCAAGGGCCAGTAGTGTAACTGTTCCAACTCTTGAGCTCAGGGTGGTCCAAGTTAAACTTGGTACAGCCCGACACGGCCCGCCTGTACTAGAAGGGTCGCAGGGACTGAAAGCAGCAAAAAGGCTTTTGTGGGGGAATACAATCGCCTTCCCAAACGCCCCAGAAGCCAAAGTAGCGGTGAACTGCTAAACCACCTCTCTCTGGAATCCATCCGAAGTCGCTCCGATTGGACAATCCACGAGTCGGCCGACTTACAATGTCTAAAACAATAAGCAACCTCAACTCCCACCTACAAAGATCCCGAGGGTTTCCATTTACTCCCCTGCCTCGTTGGGAGAAATGGAACGTGAAAACACCGCGTCCCGCTCTGCCCCAGGTAGGCCGCGAATCAGGTGAGGGCTAAACACAGGGGGGCAGACAAAGCGGTCTCCGGCCACCGACTCCAAAGAAAGGGAACGATCCGGGCTCAGGCCCTCACACCAGGGCCCAGAGGTCCGCCGGACGCCGCAGTCGCGGCGTCGAAGGGACAAGGGAGCCAGGTGAAACAGAGGACGGCCAAGCTCACCTGTCGCTTGTTCATCCGCCGCACATCGTCCAAAAAGTCTAGAGACAGCATGGCGGGGACGAAGAGCAGGACACGGGTAGGCGACAGGGATCAATGTGAACCAGCGGGCGGAACGGCAGGCGCACGGGCCGGGCTCACACTGGACGGGACGCCGCAGTGCCTGCACTTCCGCTTCCGGGGCGGGAGGCGGCGCGGCCCTTCCCCTTGCTGTGGAGAGCAGACAAAGGGAACCGCAACCCTTCTAGTGCAGCCTCCCGGCCCGGCCTTGCCATAGGAGGGCTCTCCCGCTCAAGCATTCGCCTGCCGAAAACCCTCTGGATCCCACTCCGGCGCCGAGCCCAGTGGCCTTGGCGTAGGCGGTGACCCAAGGTTAGAGATGAGGCAGCCCGGCCACCTTCGAAAGGCGGGTCCTCGTGCACACCTGACCAATCGGGAGCGGTCTTTCCGGTCTGGGGGCAGAAGCGGTTCCTGAATGGCCCGCGCGGTCCTGCGTCCCGGCCCGGGCCTAGGTGTGGCAGTTGACGTGGCGTCTGGCCGAGCATTCTCAGGTGGAGCTTGTCTTTCCCGCGCTGCGGGAAGCTGACGATTGAGGAGCTTTCAGTAAGTGCTTTTCGCGTAAGGGTGGACAACGTGAGAAACTTTCAAAGCACTGTCTGAATAAGCTCCCAGGAGTTTACAGTACGACTGGAGAGAAAACAGCCCGGTGCAATTAGGAAGCAATCAAAAGATGCAACGGTGTGATGAGACCACCAGTGGTGCGGATCCTCAGAAAGTTCCTTCCTCCCTAACCTAGACTTTGCTGACAGGATTTGGCCTTGTCTCCTTAATCTCTACCTCCTGGTTTTCTTAACCCGGGCACCTTGATGTGACCTTCTTTTCGGTATCTTCTGTCTCCTCTCTCTATATGAACATCTTTTGCTTTGGCTGGTTGAAGCGCCTAATACCCACGTCAGCCAACAAGGACTAAAGCTGGATCTCTTGCTATTATTTCTTTTTCATAAATATTCGTACTCTCCGATTAGAGGAAGCTGAATGAAGTATATAATGGAATTCTTTGTACTATCCTCGCATCTCTGTCACCCAGGCTAGAGTGCAGTGGCGTGGGTGGTCGTAGATCAGCTCACTGTAACCTCGAACTCCTAGCCTCAAGCGATCCTCCTACCTCTGCCTCAGAAGAAAGTGCTGGGATTAAAGGCATGAGCCAACACGCCTCGCTGCAATTATTTAAGTCGAAAGTTATTTCAAAGTACAAAGTTAAAAAATACATTGGAGGATGGCTGTAATTAAAAAAAAAAAAGTCATAATAATAAGTTTGGGGCTGGGCGCGGTTGTTCACACCTGTAATCCCAGTACTTTGGGAGACTGGAGGATCACTTGAGGCCAGGAGTTTGAGACCAGCCCGAGTCACATAGGGAGACCCGGTCTCTACAAAAAAAATTTTTTTTTTTTTTTTGAGACAGAGTCTCACTTTATTGCCCAGGCTAGAGTGAGTGCCATGGCGTCAGTCTAGCTCACAGCAACCTCAAACTCCTGGCTCAAGCAATCCTGCTGCCTCAGCCTCCCATGTAGCTGGGACTACAGGCATTCACCACCATGCCGGCTAATTTTTGTATATATATATATTAGTTGGCCAATTAATTTCTTTCTATTTATAGTAGAGACGGGGTCTCGCTCTTGCTCAGGCTGGTTTCAAACTTCTGACCTCTAGCAATCCGCCCGCCTCGGCCTCCCAGAGAGCTAGGATTACAGGCGTGAGCCACCGCAGCCCGGCAAAAAAAAAAAAAAATTTTTAACTTAACCAGTCGTGGTGTTACTCGCCTATAGTTTTAGGTACTTGGGAGGTTGAGGCAGGAGGACCCTATCCCTGTCTCTAAAAAAATCACAAATTAATAATAATAATAATAATAATAAGCATGGGAGGATATGGGGAAATTGGCACCCCATATACTGCTGTTGGGAATGTAAAATGATACAGCCACTTTGGAACACAGCTGCAATTGCTCAAAAGGTTAAATACAGAGTTACTATATTAACCAGCAGTTCTAGGCATATACCGAAGAGAACTGAAAATATTTCTCCACAGTACACGAACATTCATAGCAGTATTATTCATAATAGCCAAAAAATAGGAATAACTCAAATGTTCATCAACTAATGAAGGGACAAACAAAATGTGATATATTGGAATAATGTACTAATAATTCCATTGGTACAATGGACTATTATTTGAGCAATACAAAGATACTACAACATGGACGAACCTTGAAATAGTATGCTTAGTGAAAGAAGCCAGTCACAAAAGACCAAGTATTGGCAGGGCGAAGTGGCTCACACCTGTAATCTTAGCATTCTGGGAGGCCGAGGCAGGTGGATTGCTCTAGATCAAGAGTTCAAAACCAGCCTGAGCAAGAGTGAGACTCCGTGTAAGAAATTCAGCCAGTAGAGTCTTTACTAAACAAAAATTTAATTTAAAAATAGAAATAAATTAATTGGCCAACTAAAAATACATAGAAAAAATTAGCCGGGCATGGTGGCACATGCCTGTAGTCCCAGCTACTTAGGAGGCTGAGACAGAAGGATTGCTTGAGCCCAGGAGTTTGAGGTTGCTGTGAGCTAGGCTAATGCCACGGCACTCTAGCTTGGGCAACAAAGCGAGACTCTGTCTCAAAAAAAAAAAAAAAAGGATCAGAAACTCAAACTAGTTAGTTGAAAGTTAATTAAATTAGGCCGTGTGTGGTGGGTCACACCTGTAATCCTAGCACTCTGGGAGGCTGAGGTGGGCAGATCACTCCAGGTCAGGAGTTTGAAACCAGCCTGAGCAAGAGCGAGACCCCGTCTCTACTATAAATGGAAAGAAATTAATTGGCCAACTAAATATATATAAGAAAAATAGCCGGGCATGTGGCGCATGCCTGTAGTCCCAGCTACTCGGGAGGCTGAGGCAGGAGGATCGCTTGAGCCCAGGAGTTTGAGGTTGCTGTGAGCTAGGCTGACACCACGGCACTCACTCTAGCCTGGGCAACAAAGTGAGACTCTGTCTCAAAAAAAAAAAAAAATGGATTAGGAACTCAAACTAGTCAGTTGAAAGTTAATTAAATTAGATGTGTAATACTTTTAAACTCAGGAAAAAAAATTGTAAGTAAAACATTGACCAGGAATCCAGGGCAAATAAACACACAGGCCGAATCTGTGCCGGGGCTGGGCAATTCCTACGTGTGAGGTTTTCTGATGAGCAGCTGAAAAAGAAAAGCACTAGTAAAAAATACAATGAGACTGTAAGAAGCAAGTTTTATTAAACCAATGATTTATTTGCCCCAGTTCCCAGTACACTATGTTATGAAACTTGCTCAAATAGTGGCATAAAGCCAATGAAGCTTTAGTGCCATTAAAAAAAAAAAAAAAAAGCTCAGTGGCCAATTTGGTAATCAAAACAATTTTTTCTAGGGAGGAAAAAAAGCACAAAATAATTCTTCTCAATATAACATTGATGGGCCGGGCGAGGTGGCTCACGCCTGTAATCCTAGCTCTCTGGGAGGCCGAGGCGGGCAGATTGCTCGAGGTCAGGAGTTCAAAACCAGCCTGAGCGAGACCGCTCTACTATAATAGAAAGAAATTAATTGCCAACTAATATATATAGAAAAAATTAGCCGGCATGGTGACGCATGCCTGTAATTCCAGCTACTTGGGAGGCTGAGGCAGAAGAATTGCTTGAGCCCAGGAGTTTGAGGTTGCTGTGAGCTAGGCTGACGCCACGGCACTCACTCTAGCCTGGGCAACAAAGCGAGACTCTGTCTCAAAAAAAAAAAAAAAATAACATTGATGGAATTTTTCCCTAACAATAAGACAAGTGATCAAGGCTATAAAGGTGTCCTTTAAAATTTCACTTCTCATACCCAATACTTGTTAGGTCACTTTCTTGCTAAGACGCTTTTAAAGCCAATGACAATGTTCATGATAAATATGCTCATAAGAAAGCTAAATAGCCAGGCGTGGTAGCTCACGCCTGTAGTCCTAGCACTCTGGAAGGCCGAGGCGGGATGATGGCTCAAGGTCAGGAGTTCGAGACCAGCCGGAGCAAGAGTGAGACCCTGTCTCCACTAAAAATAGAAAGAAATTAATTGGCCAACTAAAAATATATAGAAAAAATTAGCCGGGCATGGTGGCACATGCCTGGAGTCCCAGCTCTTCAGGAGGCTGAGGCAGAAGGATTGCTTGAGCCCAGGAGTTTAAGGTTGCTGTGAGCTAGGCTGATGCCACGGCACTCACTGTAGCCTGGGCAACAAAGTGAGACTCTGTCTCAAAAAAAAAAAGTCACAGTCTTTTGTAACCTAATCTTGGAAGTAACATATCATCATTTCTTCCATATTATTTTTGTTAGAAGTGAATCCAGTACAGATTCAAAAAAGGAATTACGTTCCATCTTTTGAGGGAGAAGTATCAAAGAATTTGTGGACATATATTTTAACCACCTCAGCTGGAGCCCAGCTTCATGGGGAAAAGAGAGTATTTTTTTTTTTAGACAGAGTCTCACTCTGTTGCCCAGGCTAGAGTGCCATGGCATCAGCCTAGCTCACAGCAACCTCAAACCCCTGGGCTCAAGAGATCCTCATGTCTCAGCCTCCCGAGTAGATAGGACTACAGGTATGCACCACCATGCCCGGCTAATTGTTGCTTCTCTATATATTTTTAGTTGTCCAATTAATTTCTTTCTATTTTTAGTAGTGACGGGGTCTTGCTCTAACTCTGGACCTTGAGTGATCCGCTCGCCTTGGCCTCCCAGAGTGCTAGGATTACAGGCGTGAGCCACCGCGCCCGGCCTGGCCCACTCCTTACATGGTAAAATCCTGCACTCTCACTCAGCACAATTCCTCTTAGTGATCTTGTCTGTTCTCATGGCTTCCACTATCTGTGCATTTAACTCTCAGATATCCACAGCCCTGATCTCCTTCGGGTGCCAACCTTTTTATCAACTGCCTCTGGACATTCCACTTGGATGCCCAGCAGACACCTCAAACTCACCATGTCCCACATGTCACATCTCCCCAGACGCACCACTGGCCATAAAAGACCTGTTCTTCCTCTCATGTGCCATATCTCTGTGAATGGTACTAACCAATCACAAAAGCAAGAAATCTGATTGTCGTCCTTGATTCTTTCCTCTCCCACAGCTCCCAAATCCAATCAGTCACCACAGACATTATTCTACTTTCTTTCTTTTTTTTTTTTGAGACAGAGTCTCACTCTATTGCCCGGGCTAGAGTGCTGTGGCATCAACCTAGCTCACAGCAACCTCAAACTCCTGGCCTCAAGCGATCCTCCTGCCTCAGCCTCCCGAGTAGCTGGGACTACAGGCATGTGCTACCATGCCCGGCTAATTTTTTGTATATGTAATTTTAGTTGGCCAATTAATTTCTTTCTATTTTTAGTAGAGACGGGGTCTCGCTCTTGCTGAGGCTGGTCTCGAACTCTGGACCTTGAGCGATCCTCCTGCCTCGGCCTCCCAGAGTGCTAGAATTACAGGCATGAGCCACCACGCCCAGCCTGTTATTCTACTTTCTTAACGTCTCTCTTGTTTGACTGACCACATTCTCCATCCCCACTGCCTTAGTTCCTGCTACTGCCTCTTGCTCTGACAACTGCAATGAACTCTCAACTGGCCTGTCGGCCTGCAGTCTTGCTCCCCATGTGTTGCCTCACTCCGATCTGGCTCTACACTGCAGCCAGAGTAATTTACCCAAACTATAAATTTGATTATGTTCTTTCCTTACATAAAATCTTCCAGCAGATCTTCCTGAAAAGCTCTCCATCCCCCCCCACAACACCTATTACTCTTCCTTCCTTTCAAATTCAGCTTACCAATCACCCACCATTGGGAAGCCTTCCCTGCACTTATCCTATCAGCACACTCACCATCTAATTACGTGTCTATTGCTCTCACCACATTCTGAGTTCCTGGGGCCAAGGGCCTTGTTACTTATCTCTTTTACTCCCAATATTTTACCTGAAATAAACACTCGAAAAAATTGTTGAGGCCTGGCGTGGTTCACGTCTATAATCCTAAAACTCTGGGAG